AAAGCAGCCATGAATCAGAAGGTTGTACTGATCACTGGTTGTTCTTCTGGCATTGGATTGGCACTTGCTGTTCGTCTTGCCAAAGATGAGAAGAAGAGGTTTATGGGTAAGGCCCATAAGTAATCTATAGTTGTATAATGGTGGGGTAAACCAAGTACTGCTGTAAAATGTTTGCTTTTTGTTGTACTGTAAAAATAGAATAAACAGATTTTTTTTTCTTAAAAAGATGCTATTTTCTGTTTATCAACAAAATGTCAAAAACCTAGATAGATTCCTATTTTCCACAATTATTGGTTGAAGACAATAAGTTATTTTGTTACCCCATGCTACAGTGCCCTGGGACAGTTGAGACACTAATTAGTATGCTAAATTAGATAGGTCTACATTTAAGTGAAACACACTGACACATTTTATACTCTGACTGTACATTGTCCCATCATCAGTGCTGTCAACACAGGCATGTCCCAAAATGGTTTATTTGAAAAGGACAAATGCGAATGTGCACATGGATGATGACAGAAGGGAATGTGAAAGAAGGGAAATATTCAGTGTTGCTGGACGCTGACTGCAACTGCACTACTTTTACTAAAAATGCATTTTAAAATCTTTTTTCATTTGTATCTTGTGTATCACCTAAATAAATCAACTTTGCTTGTAGATTTGCTCAAAGTAAGTAGCTGAATAGCTTTAATCCATTAGTCATTAAAGCTGCAGTCCGTAAATTTTGCCTCTTTGTCGCCATCTCTGTTTCGAAACCTGCAATTGCAGCTGTGTGCGGAATTATCTTCCTTGCCTGGGTTGTGCGCTGGCATGGCTCCAGCTCGGATAAATCTAATATTCTGAAGAGTATGCGTGGCAGTCAGTCACCGCACCGGTGTGGATATTTACTGTTCTTCGCAATCACAGATTCTAGCCTACGTCTTTGAATATAATGACTCAAATAAGAATTTTCACCAGATATTGTCATCTGAACAAGTAAGTAACAAGTCTGCCACGTTTGTTCTGACCAATTGAGGAAAAAAGCATAATAAATCGCGCTACCAATGGTGATTAAATCTAAAGATCGGTTAGCTCATATCACAACAAACCGTGCAAATTATTATTATTGTTATACTTTGTTCTTAAATTATTAATGTTAAAAACATCAGCATTGCGTGACTTCGAGTATTGTGTGTATTAGCATGTAGATTTCAATTTCTGTACAGTCAAATCTGTAATTGTCATACCATTCGAATTTCATATTAAGAAATTCTTTAAACCAAAAAGCAAACTATGCTCCCTTCAAACTGGTTGTCTTTAAAATGCTTGTGTAATCCCAGGCTATCTGTAATCAGAAGCACATTTTAAACTAGAAATTTAATTTCATTTCATTCACGTGTTTCATAAACACATAATTCTTTCTGGATTACAATCCGCCATCAAAATGATACATTTAATTATGCTGTGAGAAAAGGCTATAAACGATCGGCCACCTGCAGGATCCTCACATGCGATAGCCTAGTAGCCGGGACAACTTCATGTTTACATACGTGACGTAATGACGCAGTGCCATGCTCGAATTTCCCCCGAAAACATACCCATACCACTCAAAGTAGAAAACATTATTTTAAGCTAACCGTTGTGAATCGGGCTAAAGTAAGGCGACAGTTTTGAACACTGGCTGGTTATGTACTTGCTCAAATATTGATTTCGGATTGCTTTTGGAAATGGATCTTTACCATCCCAAATCAGGCTTATTATTTTGCATTTTAGGCTCATTTTGACCACAAAGTATGTGCTTTCTGAAAATGTAATTGTAAAGGTGTAATTGTTTATTTTATTTTATTTTATTTACATTATTAATATCGGAGTTGTGACAGTGGAAGTTTCAGGACTGTTTAAAACCCTCATCCGTCCCTCCCGAACCTATAACAAAAGTGTCCCTCGCGGGTCAAAATGACCCGAAGGCCAAAAATGACACTAATTTTATTTTTGGTCCAGAAAGCTTATATTGGAACATTTTTCTAATTTTTTTCCAAATTTTTTTATGTAGGTTTTTCTATTATTTTTGGGTGATTTTTATTATATTTACCTTTTATTCTGGATATATTTAAGAAAGTATAAGCAAATAAGCAGTTTTTGTACATTATTTCACCAAAACAAAACAAAGAAACAAAGAAAGACACAATTTCAGTCCCGTTTCATCAAAAACCAACAGATGGCCTTGGAATTGAGTCACTGAAGGTCTGATGCCATCTGGTGGGGAACAATTACATAAAATTGCATTTTATGGTTACAGCCACTAGAGGGGCCTATAGAACCCTATGGAGATCTTTAACTGAGCAAAACAAGTGAAACGAGAAATGAGATAATCTTAAGGCTTCAATTTGGTTGTTTATGGATTAAAACATATATTGAAACATTACAAAATCCATATTTTGTAAAAAAAAAACAAAAAAAAAACATTCTAACTGAATTACAACCTACACATGTATATTCATACAATTTCATAAATATGAAATAAATATATAATATATTTTTAAAAATATAAATATGATATAAACTCATTGGTCTCCACCACATAACTTAAATCTAACTGTGTTAAGTCAAAAAAAAAAAAAGAAAAAAAGGAAAAATGACAGTCATATCTCAGCAGAAACATGAAAAATATTACAATGTGTTCTATGAGAGTGTGTGTACCATGTTTGTGTTTGTGCATGCGTGTGTGCGTGTGTGTATGTGAGCTTTTTCTGCACTGGGGATATTCTGTAGTCTCAGCCCTTCGTTTGGGTATACATCTTCACTGGATTGTCTCAGATTTTGTATATATAAAAAAAATCAAATGTAATGAAAAATGCAGTTAATTCCATTAATTCCTATGCGGGTCAAAATGACCCGAGGGACGGATGAGGGTTTTAATACTGTGTGCAAAACAATCCCTTTTGTTACTTTTTTTATTGCACCCATTTAATCTCCTCGAATCCACTCTAAAAAATGTTTGTGTATTCCCGGTTCAAGTGTGACAAAAGTACCGGTACGATCAACACACGATTTTTAGAATTTTTTTGAAAAACATATTCGGGTCAAATTGACCCGAGGGACGGATGAGGGTTTTAATACTGTGTGCAAAACAATCCCGCAACCTTATGCTTTGTTATAAAGTGCACACAAACAGTACTTTATTTTAATGTATAGTTAGTATGCAACTACCTCGAAACCAATAACGATGTCTCTTAACGGAATCCAGGTTTATATTGTTTCACACCGTTCATAATTTACCAGGGGTTAATAATAAATCCTGGGTATTTATAAACTAGCATTTCACACTGTACATTCTTAAACTTAAACGTTAACATTCTTATTTGCATATTTGAGGTGTAAGTGTTATTAATTGGATAAACGCATAATGTGATGCTAGAGCCATTATGTAAACATAATAATGTTTACCTGGGGGTTAGCAATATACAGTATGAAACATCAGCTACTGAACATGCCGGATTAATTTTAACCCTATAGTTTATGAGATACAATCAAAAAATACAAAATGCTTTTAAAGTTGCAGATAAGAAAGCTGTAAAAAAAAAAAAAGGACAATATTCAAGGCTTATGAAAACTTTTCATGATTTGCTTAATTTATCCAAGAATCAGCATTCTTGATACTACCCTTCGGTTCTCTGTATTTCAGTTAGTAATGCTGGAATGGGAATGATCGGCCCCACTGAGTGTCAGACCATTGATGAGATGAAAACTATCATGGACACTAACTTCTTTGGGCTTGTGCGACTCTTGAAGGAGATTCTGCCTGGTATGAAGAAGAGAAAATGTGGCCACATAGTGGTAATCAGCAGTGTGATGGGGATTCAGGGTGAGTTGTTTAAAACGGACAACAACCAGCTTTTATTAATGCCTGGTTCTCTTAAGCTGATATTCGCATTTGAGCTCTTTATACCAGTGGGTGAGAGGTCCAACTTAGATACTTATAGGATTAACAACCATGACTAAAAGAGCTCTGAGAGGATTCAAACAGGGCTTAACATCTCTAATCACTGTTGTATTCGTGTACACAGGTATTTTGTTTAATGACATTTATGCTGCTTCCAAGTTTGCTGTTGAAGGGTTCTGTGAGAGTCTGGCAGTTCAAGCTCTGAGATTTAATCTGAAGTAAGTGATCACACTAATATGTAGGGGTCCAAGCATTGAATGGTCCCAAATACCCCACTACCCAGGAGTACATTTACATTTATTCATTTGAACATGAATGTCTAGACAGAGTGGACATGAACCACATTGCCTCATCTTTCCTATGGTAGTTTTTTATGACTAGAACTACTCAAAGTTTACAAGGTTAAAAGAGCTCAGTTTACTTGTTCATGATAATATATTGCAGCAGTAATTTCAAGATTTTCGATGTGTTTTGAAAGCATTGACACCCACATTTAAGTTGTAATTGTATGTATATTGAATTTGCACCTGTGCAGTATCAGCCTCATTGAACCAGGACCCGTCATCACAGAGTTTGAGAGTAAGGTGTATGAGGAAGGCGTGAAGATAGACCTCTCCAAAGCTGATAAAGTGACAGCAGATATGTTTACCAACATCTACTTGAAGAATTACAACCAGATATTCCAGAGTCTTGGACAAACTCCAGAGGATGTTGCAGAGGTACAACCCAGGGGCTTGAGAAATTTTCCAAAACATTTCATGCAGCATTTCATTTATTTCATTCATCATCTTTCCAGTGCTTAGTTGTTGTTTTTTTTCTCTGAATTTCTAACAGTCCATATGTTGCTTCTCTTGCAACCAGCACACATTCAAAATGATTACCATGGAGAACCCACCATTTCGGCATCACACTAACAGTCTGTACACCCCCATGACCACCCTAAAATATGCGGATCCAAATGGTGACCTTCCCATTGAAACCTTCTACAAAATGGTGTTTGAACATGACAAGGTGTTCAGTGCAAGTCTCAATTTCCTCAAGCTCCTGCGCTGGAGAAGCCGTAAGAGCTTCACTTTGGGTAAAGACAAGAATGCCTCTTAAAGAATGTTCTGCTGGAGATCTGGGGGTATTCCAGAAAACATGTAAGGCAAATTAACTGAGTAAGTTTACCCAAAGTAAATGGACACCCTCAACATTCGGTTCCAAAGACTGAGGTAGCTTTCAGGGTATGTACTGTATGTAGCCATACAGCAACTTAAAATACTTTAAAATAATAGTAATATAATACTTTAAAACACTATAATACTTAATATATATAATATAATTTATAAATTAAAAATACAACTGACAAACACATCATCACCAGCATCACACCATATAATCAATGTAGAATTAAAATGTCTAAACCTAAAAAAAGTATTTCTCCTTTAAGGCTACTTTCTTGCAGAATTTAGTGCCAACACATCTGCCTAGAAATTTCTAGTGATCATTGGGGACCTTCATGAGCTGGTTCAGGTGTGTTTAATTGGGGCTGAAGCTAAACCAGAGCCGCTTTGAGGTGAGCCTCCAAGGTTAACAAAAAAAAGTGTAGCGTTATGTTACATTGGGTAGGAGACAAAGCTGTTTCTTAAAGGATGTCAGTGGAGGAAAGGCTTTCATATGCTGAATAAACTGCTTTTGTGAGGAAACAGCTTATTACTTGATGAATCGACAACCAATTGGCAAATATTCAACATATTAAGGCTACCAATAAATATTCATTTGAATTTATCTATTTTTTAGAAGCTGAAGTCACAGACTATTTTGCAACAGACTATTTCTATAGTATCCGCAAACAGTGACTGACTGTCGTACAACTCTGTCATCAATTTGATGATGTCTAGGTAATAATGCAGGGATCTCCAATACTGCTCTTGGAGAGTTACTGTCCTGGGGAGCATTTCCCAAAAGCAACTATGGTCACGGTGTTCAAGGGAACTTGAATTATCAAATAACCCTGAACACCTTGATTAGCTGGTTCAGGTGTGTTTGATTGGGGTTTGAGCTGTACTCTGTAGGATGGTAGCTCTCCGGGAGCAGGGTTGGAGACCCCTGAGATAATGTGATCCAAGTCGACTGTTATGCTTTCGCCAATGGTAGAGATGCGGAGGTTGGTATCTCCTCAAAATAAAAGAAATATCTCTGGCTAAACTCTGCTGGATGGTAGCCCTTCAGGAGCAGGATGGGACACCCCTGGCCATAATACAGCTATAATATCTTTGCAACCCATAATATCATTTATTTTATTTACCATCAATTCTGCATCACTGAAGTACAGCAGCCTCCCGAGAAAGAGGAAAAAGAATAAGAATATGTTTAAAAAATAGACTGCATAACAGCCAGTATGTAGCGATATGAGCTTCTTCTTATAGCATTTGTTTCCATGGTGTTTTTTTCTTGGATTCGTCGCTCTGTTGAGAATGTATTTGTGTTCACTGTTAAGTCTGAGTTTTAAAACACCAGGCATCATACACTTTTTGACTTGTAAATGGTTACACAGAAAAAACTGGGCATCATACATTAAATAACTGAGCATTATTACCTGATTTTCAAGTGTGCCTCATTACTAGAACATACTAGACAAATGAAAACAATCTGTGTTCTCAAAGAAATATATCAGACATGTTTGATATCCTCCAGCTGGGTGGAATCATATTCTGTGCCCATCATACACTATGCAGTTTTCGGCAAAATCTGTCAACATTAAATGCTGAAAACCGGCTGAATATGACTTTCAGCATCTAGCATCAGTGTGTCCAGACTGAAAAAATCTGGGCAAAAATCTGGGCAAAAGTTGTTGTGTATTCCAGCCTTAACGCTAGACTGTGTTTCTAGAACCAATAATCGCACACTTTCTACAAGTTAATCAACCGTGAGTTCAGGATTTATATGACACAATAGCCTTGTTTCCTGCAATACCTCTAAGGACAACTGACCTGTTTTTCCAGTTCTATTTAAGATTATTTCATTATATATGAATAAAGCAAATCTGCATAATACAAAACATTGTACAATCTTTCATTATAAATCACAGCGTTAGCTAAAAGTTAGCAAAATGTTCATATAATAGTTCTGATGTTACCTGTGCTAATTGTTTCCTTAGTCTAATTTTCCACCCATCAGCTGAAGACATCTGAATAAATTAACTGTTCATCTAATCTTTTTTCTCTTTCTTTTGGTCATCTTTAAGTGTAATCATCTAATAGATACAGATCTAATTGCATACAGTTCCAAGCAGGGGTGTGCGATATATATCGTCGTCTACGATAATATCGTAATTGTTGTTTAAACGGTATGCGATTTGACATTATCGAGTAGGCCTATATATGCACACCCAGAGTGTGCATGCATACACATACAATGTAGGTTAGATTACTGCAATTCCCCCAAAATTCAAGATAAGAGGGCAAATATGCCGGTATTACTTTTATATGACTCTTATATTATCTGATTGGCTATAGGCCTTGTTAATATCACACGAAGAATGAAATCCAAATATCAGCACGATTGCAAATGTAGGCTAATACTGATTTGACGAACAGCTCAATGAACAAGAAGTTAAGTGACTTACATTTTAGACACAACAGTTCTTGTTTTTGCTGTATTTCGACAACGAAAATAGTTTCACACAAAGCCAAGGTAGAACTATTTGGCGAAATTGGCGTCTTGAGCAACACACACAACAGTACTGTTTGAAAGAATTGGTTGAATGAATGACTCACTTGCAGTGATTTGCCGCCACCTACTGGCGATTTTGGGTTTATATTTAAAGTATACCCCCCCCAATCATTTCAAATATCAGATATCAGTAATACTGATTCAGTATTCAATGTTAAGTTTTAAAACATCAAAGGACGAGGCTCAGGAGGAGGACAGACACCCGGGAGGCGGCCGGCAGACAGAGTCCAGGGAGGAGACAATGGAGGGAGGAGACAGGAGGGGCTTGGAGCAGGAGGAGCCAAGCAGCACCCAGGCCACAGCCATGATGGCGACCCACGGTGGAGCCGACGGAGGGAGGAGCCATGGAGGAGGAATGGCCGCCGACTCCAGGGGGCCGACCAACGGCGGCATGAGCAGGTGGTAGAGGAGCTCGAGGCGGAGACGGAGAGCCAACGAGCCAGGGGGATGCCGAGGATCCGGGGGGCCAGGGTGGAGCCGAGGGCTCTGGCGACCGAGGCGGAGATCCGGAGATCCACGGCGGAGCCGGAGCGACTGAGGACCAAGGTGGAGCTGGCAGGAGGAAGGAGTACAATGGAGCCGGTGGATGGAGCGGCGAGGTGCAGCCGGAGGAGCGGAGTCCTGAGGCGATGGTGGGTCGACGCCCAACCAAGGCGGAGCCGTAGGGGCGAGGGAGCCCGGTGGAGCTGGTGGATCGACGGGTGGCGGTGGAGGTGAGGGAGCTAGGAGCCGAGGTGGAGAGGGCGCTTACGAGGAGCTGGCACTGGAGGGCGCTCTGGACTGGATTCAGGGACTGGAGCCCTCTCCTCTTCGCTTTGGCACTTTCACTGCGCCATACTCAGCTCACCCTCAGCTGTGGTGCAGGGGGCGGAGCTCCTCTCCGCGCTCACACCGTTCACGGCTTTCTCCCTTGTGGCAGGCATTGTTGCTGGCTCTCGCACCTGGTCTGACAAGTTAGCTCTACGTCCGGGGCGATCCTCTGCTCGGTCACTCGGCATTGTGCTGGCTTGTAGATCGCGTGAGCGTGGCCTCGGGCTTTAGCTCCCCACAGCGGGGAGATGGTGGGCTGGGCTCTGGGTCCGGAGTGGATCTGGGGAGATCATCCTCGGGAGTGACGGTGAGAGGTGATCCGTTTCTCGCCAGAATCCACTCC